CCACCATAAGTTGTAGGGGGAAGGGGTCCTCCTCCTCCTCTCCCTCCTCCTCCTCTTCCTCATCCTCCACCTCCTTCCCTCCTCCAACTTATGGTGGTGGTGGTGGAAAACAGGCCCATCACCTGGTGCACCCCTCACGCACCATGCGTGCCCCGTGGGGGGACCCCACGGGGGCGCCAGCGGGCGCGAGTGCACGCCAGGCCCCGAGCTCATTCTGGCACGACCTTCCCACACCTCGGGCCCAAAAGAAGAGGTCGCGAACATGACTGCACCAACTGGGGGGGTGGGGGGCTGCATCCAGCCGCGATTTCCAGGACGGGGCTAGGACGAGGATCAATCCGTTCCAGGGCGTCCCAGAACGCTCTCAGAGCGTTCCAGAACGCTCTGAGCAGGTCGTGGCGCCCGAGACATCCTCCAGAGCCGCGGTATCTCAGAGAGTCTCGATGTATCCTCACCCGGATTTAATTCTCGTCCTGGCTTCGTTTGAAGTCCATTGTGGGCTCTTTGTTCGGCAACAAACGAGGGGGGAAGTGTGAAGGAGAAGGCCTTCTCAGAATGCAGCGGGACCTCTCGGAAGGCGTCCAGCCTTCTGAGAAGTTTTCTATGTCTTCGGGGAAGTTTTAGAAAACCTTCCAGAAGGCCAGGAGTCTTCCGAGCTTTCTGAGCAGGCCTTCTCCTTCTCACTTCCCCTCGCTCGCTTACGTTGCATCTTCGGGGGACCTCGCCTGTCTCCCAAATTGGTGTCTTTTCTTGTGCCCGACGCGGGCTCGATGCGGACTCGACGCGGATTTGGTGTGCATTCGACGCGAACTCGGCACGGATTCGACGCGGGATCCGACGAGACTGGCATGGATTCGACGCCGATTCGACCCGCTTCGAGGGCCGCGAGGGGACAGACGAATCCCCACGAGGGTGCAATAGAAATTGCCCCTCCCCTCGCTCGCCGCCGAATTGCGCTCCTGTATCGGGCGAAGAGAACTATGCACATGCACCGATCCTGGCAAGGCAAGTCCTTGACCCAGGATCGGTGCATATGCCTTCCTGGCCAAGGTAGGAGGGCGTATGCACCGATCCTGGGCTCAGGATGGGCCTGGCCAGAATCGGTGTATGTGCATAGTTCTTTTTCCTCTACTGTAATCAAGGGGGGAAACGCCACCCGGCCTGGACAATGGGCGTTCACGGAACGGCCCTGGGCGTGCACTGAGCGGCCCTGCCCTGTTCGATTCCTTGTTTGGGCGCGTTTACTCCAGGAGGGAAAGAAACACACAGACACAATTGATCGTCGATTCCCCAGAAAATATGGGAAAATATGGGAAGTGGGGGGGAAGACATAAACCCAGAAAATATGGGAAAATATGGGGAATAGTTTTATTTGTGTGTATTTATTTGTGTGTCCTGGGGCCCCTTCATTACTCAAGGCCTCGCGGCTCGGGGTGGTCATTATCGGGGTGGATGTTCCACCCTGTATGTACGGCTTCCGGGGCGTCCTCCAGCGCTCTGCCGAGAACGAATGCTGCAAGATGCTTCAAGGTGCTCCTCGATGGTTCTTCTGGAGCCGGACTCCCTATACACCGACGCTTTTTCTGGTCCCGCACGGAAGTTCGCATAAGAAACGGATCCTGGTTTATACGGGATCCTGACGTGTGCATGCGTCGCGGTTTCCCTGGGACAACGGGGAAACAAGCATACACCACACCATCCCGACGTCGTCCCCGACCCTCAGAAGGTCCTGGAATTGAACAACAGCCCGCCACTGGTAATGCTTATGTTCCAGTTTCCGGATAGGCTCCTTGATTAGGCAAGCGCGTTCCATTATGCGTAAATTCACTACTCGCAGATGGCCTGGATCAGACGCGAAGGAGTTACGACAAATTACATCGAGGCGAACGATTGTTTTTCGGACGACTACGAGTAGGCACTTTGCGAGTAGCGGAACGCGCTCGGTGATCGATGCTCCTCGCCGAGAGCCAGCGCACGCGCCCGAGCGATGCCCACGCGACGCGACGGAGAGCCACGGCGGGGGGCCACGGCGGGGGGCCACCAATCTGTCTGGGGGGGCTGAGCATCTTGGAGCATCTTGCGACAGCAATGCGCGCACGAACTCGAGAAATGCACGAGGAACGGATGTCCGAGCGAGAGTGAGGTCGTGACCCCCTTTTCGGAGGAGCAAGAGGTACCCGTACCTCTACCCTCCCCCCGTTTTCCCCTTTTTGGGCCTCCTGGGAGGCCTTCGTCGCCACCGCTGGATTCGCCTCGAAATCCTTGTCAAGACGCACCCTGGGAGAGGTCCGGGGAGCAGCGGTATCGTTACTTTGTGGTTTCACCACCCTTCCTGCGCGATTGTATGCAGCCGTGCGGGATTCTATGCCGCAGAAGTGCTTTTTTCTACACCTCGAGCTTCATAGACATCGCCCAGCTTGGGCGCACTGCCTTTTTTGGGCCCGAGGGCATGAAGGCGGATCGTGAATGAGATTCGCACCCCATGAGGAGCCCCCACCATTGCGCATGTAAACACTGCCGCATCTAGACTCAAGATCGTTGCGCCACAGCCTTTACATCCTTCGTGCTCCGCAGGGAGCCCAAACTGCTGTTCAGGTGGGCAGGGTACGCATTCAACGGGCCGGAGGCTCGAGGTTATTTTGGCGCAAAGCCCTGCACACTTCGTGCCCCTTGAGGACCGCGGCGCCAATGGGATGGTGGCATTCAAGCGCAAGCTCACTTGGGCACACTCTTTTCCACCTTTCGTGCTCAATCGCCTCCCAAAATAGTTTTGGCACGCACCGCATGGCCCATAAGTGACCCCCGCTATACCGACAGTGTACACGGCCGCACATGGGTCACAAACAAATGCAGCCAATGATTCTGCTTCGAGCGATCCCCACCGACACTTCCGGCGTGTGTTCCCAACGATGTGCACATCGCGTTTCGAATACTTTGAAATGCTACAGGTCTTGATGCTGTGCCACGGTGCGCTAGGTTCTGCCATGGTGTGCTATTTTATGTCATGGTATGACATGGTATGGTATGAACTGCTCTCGTGTGTTATGCTATGGTATGAGGTGTGGTGTTTGGCTCTGTTCTGTATGATCCACGCCGTCATGTCTTATGTATTTCTGTCAAGTTATGCTTTGTGTTGGTACGATGTACCACCGTATGCCTCGCTCTGTCACGTTATGGTGTGTCATGTGTGTTGCGATGGTATATGTCATGTTATATGTGCTGCGATGCTGTATTATGCTGTTGTGTGGTCCGTCATGCCATGTTAGGTTATGGTATAGTATGCCATGCTATGCTATGTGATGCCCTGCCATGTTATGCTATGGACGCGTCGATCTGTCATAGCATTTGTTGTTGGGCTGTGTTGTGCTGACATGTCCTGTGATGTTGTGATATTGTCTGTTTTGGTACGTTCAGATATGCGATAAGTTCTTTTGGTATGATTGCTTTGTAATGGTGTGGAATAGTCGGGGCTGTGATGCAGTGCTATGGAACGTACTGCTCAGTCATGGTGTGTGATGTTCTGATATGTTATGTCAGGATGTGGCATGTTAAGATCGGCAATGTTATGGTAGGTGGTGTGGTGTGATGGATTATTCCCTCACAGCTTATAGTGTTCATGTTCTGTTATGCTCTGCCATGCTATGACTTGTCGGCGCGAGGCGGGACACCCGGGGGCATTCGGGGGACCTGGGCATCTGGCGGCCGCGGTATGCAGAGTGGTGCGAGGCGGGACACTCGGGGACATGCGGGAGACCTGGGGATCTGGCGGCCCCGGTATGCAGGGTGGGCGAGCCGGCGCGAGGCGGGGCATTCGGGGACACTCAGGAGATTTGGGCATCTGGCGGCCGCGGTATGCAGAATGGCACGAGGCAGGACACTCGGCGACATGCGGGAGGTCTGGGGATCGGGCGGCCGCGGAATGAAGAGTGGTCGAGTCGGCGCGAGGCGGGATTCTTCGGGGACGCTCGGGGGACCCGGGGATCTGGCGGCCGCGGTATGCGGAGTGGCGCGCGGCGGGACTCCGGGGACACTCGTGGGACCTGCCGCGGTGTGCAAAGAGGCGCGAGGCGGGATTCTCGGGGACACTCGGGGGACCCGGGGATCTGGCGGCCGCGGTATGCAGAGTGGCGCGCGGGACCGAACTCCCGGGGACCTTCGGGGGTTTGGGGGGTCTGGTGGCCGCGGTATGCAGAGTGGACGGGTCGGGAGGTCAGTTCTCTAAATTGAACGACCCCAACCTGTCGGGCAGGGGAATAGTTTTCGGGCGATAACAAGGTTGGGTAGTATGTGTGCATGCGTCGGTTGTCACCTGGCTTCGTGTCAGAATGACAAACCAATTCGTCGCCCGAGCGAAGTTGATTGTTCCACGTTGTGAATCTGCGTATGCTCGTCTGGCTCTTCTGAGTTCTACCAGCATTCGAACTCATTCGCCCTCTCCAACTTCCGATCACTCGTGCAATTGTTCTAGCCCGCATTGCCCTTGTAGTTATCCAAAACCCGATGGCACTTTCGTTTATTGAATTCGCGTGATTGTCCGATCATTCTGAACCTTGTCACCTCGTCAGGTTTTTCTACCAATTCCAGGTCTGTGGCATTATGCTAGCCGCGATGACTCTCTATCCCACCTCCTCACGTTCGCCAGCCGCGGGCCCAGGAAACCCGCGGCGGGCACATGACAGGAGAGCGCTTCGGATGCGCCGCACAGGTGCGTGATCTCCCTCCGTGAACCGGACAGCCAAGACGCTGAAAAGAGGACCGCGTGGGGCTCGGGAGGGGATCTGGTTTCCGGGCCGTGCCTTGGATCTGGGTCGGAGGGCTTCTTCGTGGTTGAGGCCCGTCGCCGCCAGGAGGGCCTCCGTCGTTTTTCTTATGCAGCGCTCGGTACTGGTAGTACGAGATGACTGTAAGCCGAACCCTGCCGGCTTGGTTGTCATCTCAGGCAGTGTTGTTTTTTCTCGCACTCTACCTTGATCCGTTGCCATCTGATCTCGGGTGGCGTTGCGAGGCCGTCGAGGCGTATCTTCGGTTTAGGGGGGATAGCTCGACTACGAAGGGTGAAGCAGCCATGGTGGACGTTCGTGCCCACACACCCATGCAGTCTGAAAAAGGTCAGGTTCTGTCTGGTTCCGTGGACGAGCTATGGTCGACGGCCACCGAGGCAGCGAAGTCGGGGCAACAAACGAAGGCGGCCCATTTCTACACCATGGCGCTCGACTCCGTCACCAGGGGTATGCGGCGGGATGCAGGCGGCTTCGCTGCCGACGCCGAGCTCATGAAGTTCAACGCCTCCTCCAAGGGCCACCTGGCGCAGCTGCTCTCGGAGCGCTCGGCGGTTCACCTGAAGCTCGGCGACTTTGCTGCCGCGGTGGAGGACGCGGACGCCTGCACCCGCGCGGACCCGGAGTCCGAGCGGGGCCACGCGAGGCTCGCTGTGGCGCACGAGGCCGCGTGCTCTTCGCTCCGCGTCCAGCTGGAGGCGTGCGAGCGTGGCCTCACCGCCTGCCCGGGCAGCAAGTTCCTGGTGACGCGCAAGTGGCGCCTGAAGAAGGCCATCGCCGAGCAGCCAGACGCAGGCGAGGCTCCGGCAGCATCCCTGGACGACGACGGCAGCCGTCTTGCTGCAGCCCGCCGCGTTGCAGACGACCCCAGCGATGCGCGGAGGCCCATGGCTGCGAGCGACCTCGGCAGCGTGCTGGCCGCGGGTTCGCACGGAGTTGCCAGGGACGTGGTCCAGGCCGAGCGTTACTTGCGCATCGCATCGGAAGGCGGCGACACTGCCGCGCAGCGGAATCTTGGCCTCCTGCTCATTGAGCTGAACAGGCCAGAAGAGGCGGTGCCGGAGCTCTGCAAGGCTGCCGAGGCCAGCGACGAGCAGGCCACGCTTGTGCTGAAGCAGCTCATGGACGAGGCCGAGGCGCGGGCCGCGGAGGCGCGGAAGAAGCTGGAGGCGATGGCTGGCAGTGGCGACGCCCGCGCGGCTCGGATGCTCGCCGAGATGGCCGTGGGCTGCGCCTGATGGGCAGCACACCACAGTGGGGTGGGGGCGTTTCAACACGGAAATCGACGGGGGGACGCCGCGAGGGAGCGATGCTTCTGGTCATTGCAAGTTCCAGTCTCGGAGCGTGTGAGCGCGCAATGTGTCTATTGCAGCGAGGGCAGGGGTGCAGGATTCCAAAGTTGCACCCCACGATGTTTGTCTTTGAATGTGGCTCGCGGTGCGCTTTGGGCGCACGACCGCGGTTCAGTGTTGAACAGCTCGGCCAAAATCAGCGTACACCGAGTCGTGCACAGAGACGAGCACAGCATTCAATTGTAAAGAAGAAATTCCCCAAACAGGGTTTGCAATTAGGGCTCTCAGTTCGCTTCTCAGGAGCTGTGCCTAGTTGTCGGTGTCCGGCTAGCTTGTGGCCGCTCGTCGCCGCCGGTCGCCGCCGTCGTTGGTCACGATGTTGTTTGTGCGAGGCTCACACCGTTGCACTGCTTTGCATTGCGGTCCATGGCTTCGCATTTGTTTTGCATTGTCTTGCACCGTGTTGCGTTGCCTGGCATTGCTCTGCCTTGCTTTGTGTTGAGTTGCTCTGCCCTGCACTTGTTTGCAGCGTTTTGTATTGGTTTGTAATCGCATTGCCTTGCATTGAATTGCAGTGCGTTGCATGGGTTTGCTTTGTGCTTCTTTGCATTGGTATAACCACATACAGTGCAGCGCATTGATTGCGTTATCCCGATTGTAGCACATTGATTCCGCTATCTAGGTTGTGGCCGCATAGAGTGTAGAATTGACGCTGGCTAACACTATATGTGTGGATTACAGATATGATAGTGTTGCATGGGACACTTGGCCATCAGTTGAGTCCGTGCCTTCGCAGATGTGTGTGTGTGTGTGATTTGGAGTGGTCGAAAGTTGCTGCCATACGTGCCAACGCAGCCGTGGCACAGGTATACATAAACACGAACGCATCGAAACACGAGCGCATGTCCGCGATTGTGCGTATATCCAAGTGCGATTTACGTATGCATGTGCAGCTGTTCGCGCACGCACACACACACACACATAAACGCACACACGCATTGACATACACAACATACACACACACACACACACGTACGCGCGCGCACGCACACGCGCACGTACGCGCACACACACACGCACACACGCACACACACCCACACACACACACACGCACGCACACACACACGCACGCACACACACAAGCACACACACACACTCACACTCACACACACTCACACTCACACACACGCACACACACACACACACCACACACACACACACCACACACACACAAACGCCCACACACATACACAGACACACACACATGCACACACACGCGCAAGAGATTTCGTCATGACTCCCTCAGGGAGAGGTCATGAGAGCAGCGGTATCGGTGTCTTCTTGCCCCCCACGAGGGAGGAGGGAGCGAGGAGGGACGCGAGTGGAGGGAAGCGAGTGGAGGGAAGCGAGGGGGAGCGAGGAGGGGAGCGAGGGGGAGCGAGGAGGGGAGCGAGGGGAGCGAGGAGGGGAGCGAGGAGTGAGGCGGGGAGCGAGGAGTGAGGAGGGGCATCGAGTGCAGGGGGCGAGGGGACCGCGAGCAGCGAGGGAGCGATGGGGGGGCGAGGCGGAGGAGCCAAGTCCCGCTGCCAGGGGGCGGGGCCCGCGCGGGCCGCCTCGGCGCGCCGAGACCGGGTTCACCGAGCGCAGGGGGGGGCTTCATCCTCGTCCTTCTCCTCCTCCCCCTCCCCCTCCTCCTCCTCCAACTCCTCCTCCTCCTCCTCCTCCTCCTCCTCCTCCTCCTCCTCCTCCTCCTCATCATCTCCGCGGCCTCCCCCACCCATGGGGTCTCTGCAGTGCTTCCTCCCAGTGGCCCCCCCCCCTTCGGCCCGCGGCCCGCTGATGCAGCGCGCCGTCGAGCTGTTGGTGGAGGCGGGTGGCGCTGTGCTCTACCAGGGTCTGCGAGCCGCGCTCTTCGAGCGGCTCGCTGGCCAACCACTTCCCTTGACGGACCAGGGGGCCCCAGCCTTTGGGTCCTTTTGGCCGTCTCAGGCGGCGGACCTCGGGGCAGCGGCGGAGTGCCCTGCCTCCGGCGGGTCCGCCTCCTGTCCCACCGTCTGCCCTGGGCTGGCGGTGGACCTGAGCGGCGGGGTCTCTCTTCTGCTGCTCGCGACGGTCCTCTCGCTCGTGGGAGTGACCGCTTGCTCCAGCTTCTGCGGAGGCTGCTGTCTCGCGGGCCCGGTGGTCCGCTGCGCGGGCCCGTACCTGGCTCGCGTGTGCCTCGCGCTGGGCGCGCCGACCCCTGCGCCCGCGAGGGCACCCGCTCGGGCCTTGGCCTGCGGCCCTGGCCCTCTAGCCGCGTCGCGCGGTTCCGTGGCGGCGGGTCTTCGGCCCGCGTCGCCGCGGCTGGGCTAGTCCCCTCGGATCGGCCTTCGGGCCGCCCGCGCGCGCTCCGTTGCCACGGGCGCGCTGGCGGTTCTTCGGCGCACCCGACGCGAGGCTCGGCGGGGGGAACTGCCCCACGACGCTGGAGACGATGGCTGCCGTGCCAGCGCTTCCAGAGGGCCCCGTGTGGCCCGAGCTGCACCCCTTCTGCGGCGGGCGGGCTCTCGACGACGGGGGCCTTCAGTTTCGCCGCCATACCGCTTGCGCAGCGAGACGGTGGCGTGCTGCTTGCCACTCCGTCGTCTTCCCGCTTGGCTGCCGACTTGGCGGCCGCGGAGGCAGAGGGTTTCTCCGGGCTGCTGGGCCCGTATATGGTGCTCGACGTGCCTCTCCTCGGGGCGGGCTCACGCGCGCTGGCTACCACGGTTTCCGTCCTTCCTTGTGATCGATTTAGACATCAAGGAGTTGGAGCTCGAGTCCTTGTCGCCGCTGCCTGCGGCTTTGCCAGCCGATCTCGTCCCTTTTGGGACGGTACGGGTTCGAGCTTACTCGCCGCGTCCGTCCATGGTCAGGTTGCTCCGCGAGCAGTTCGCCACCCTCCACGGTGCCTTCCCCGCCGACGGCGAGGAGGACCTGGCAGGGGCCGGGCGAGCGACTCCCTATCACACAGGATCGGAGGGAGCCGATGAGATCGTGTCCATCTCGGATCCGGGGGAGGCAGGCGACGCCGACCGTGGCGGCCCCACCTTCACGGCGCCTTGGGGTCTACGCAGGGCTCACTACCTTCCCTGCTCCTGCTGCGCAGCCGCGAGCTCGCCGCCGAGCGGTCGCGCCCGTGGGCGACGGCGCTCCCATGACCAGAGCGGAGGTCGTGGCAGAGATGCGCGCGATGATGGCGGCTCAGGCGGCCCTCCCGCACCGAGCCTCCGCGCCGCCGTTGGCGGGCCCCCCGCGGGAGGCCCATGTGCCTCGTCGCGACGCTCCGCAGCCGTTCGAGGGCGAGGCCGCTCGCCTGGAGATCCCGCTGCACGACCCGCAGAGCTTCGCCGCGGGTGCAAGCCGAGACGGGCGCCCCCGTCTCCGCCCTGGCAGCAGCATGGAGGGCTTCGCGACCCGCGGGCGCGTCGGCCAAGGCTTCGTCTTTGGCCGCGCTGCCAGGGGGGGCACCTCCAGGGCCCCCCGCCCCCGGCTGGGGGCCCGCTGCTGTCGCCGGGGAGGCAGCCGCGGCAGGGCTCCCGGACCCGGCCCCGACCCCGCCGTCGACGCTGGACCTCGCGTCGGCGTGTCTGCGAGAGGCTCTCGCGCGCCAGCTGGGCCCTCGAGTGTCGCCCCACCCTCCGCTGGGCTCGCTCGTCGAGCAGCCGCCGCTGAGCAGGGCCCTTCTGCAGAAGGCGCGATCGCGATGACTCGCGCGCGGGGAATCGTGCGACATCGCGAGTGGCGGCAGGCGCTCACGCAGCACGTGTCTCGAGCCAGCGAACGAATGAAAGAGAATCTGGCCCGCGAACTTGGTGCCCCAGTATTTTCGGGAGCAGAGTCCTTCGGGCAGTCGGACGTCGACCCGCGAGCTGCTGACCCACTTTGCGCGGCCAAGTGCCGAGCTCTCGCGAGCCAGCGAAAAAGGCGGCGCAGAGCGCGTCCAGGCCCTGCTGTCTTGCCAGCGCATGGTCGTGGATCAGCTGGCCCGGGATCGCGGGCATCTCGAAGCGGCGCGCGTGGCGCGCCAGCGCCCGGAGCGAGAGGCTCATGGCCCGCTCTCGCCCCCAGTGGATCCGCGCTAGCTGTCGGCCCAGGCTCAGTACATGAAGGAGCTGACTTCCATCCGATCCCGCCTGGAATCGGAGCGGGCGGCAGCTTCGAAGGGCCGGGGCCCCGAACCGAGGGGGGGGGGAGAAGGGGGGGGGGGGGGGGGGGGGGGGGGGGGCAGGCAACCAGAAGCCGAAATCAAAAGGCTCGACCCCGCCCATGGCCAAGGCGGGCCCCGTGCCGCCGCGAGGCCGATGGGCCGCCCCCCTGCCCCCCTTCCGCCTGCCCTCTCTACGGGCAGTCGTCGCGCGAGCGTGGTCGCGGGTTTTGGGGCGGGCTCTTCCAGCGAGGGCATTGCGCCGCCGCGGGGGAAAGCGCGCCCCGCCGTCGCGACCTGGATTCGGGCCTTCTTCCGCCCCAGCGTTCCGCTCGCCATTTGGGCTTTCTTCGCCCCACTCCCTCGCCCGCTGCGGCCGCCAGGAGCGCCCGGGCAGAGCGAGGTCGCGCGGGTGCGAATGCGCTTTTTCCGGCGAGGGCGGGGCGCTGCAGCAGGGGAATGCACGTTTGGCCAGCGCGATCTCCGCTCGCCAGCTCCTTGCGAAGTTGCTTCCGCGGATCCCCTTGGTCCGTCTGCCTTCGGCGACGCCTCTGCGGGCGTCGAGGTGCCTTCTTCTGCCGCTGCGTCGGGGAAGCCGTCCTGTCCTTCGCTTGTTTCTGGTCGCCTCCGTGACCCCGCAGCGACGCGGCGCTCGGCTCCCGTCTCTTCGCTCGCCTCAGCTGCAGCCGATCAGGTCGCCCCCTTTTGTGGCGGATCTGTCTGCCTCGCTGCGCCTACTTCCAGGTGCGAACATCGGCATGGCCCACTGGGCGGCTGCTTTAGCCCAGGGCAGGATGGGCTCTCGGCGTTCTCTGGCATCGTTCTCTCGCCCATCGCAACGCCCGTCGGATCGTGGCGGTTCTCTCGCTGAGCCGCTTCCCCGCGATCCCTGGCCGTGCCCCCCCGCCCCGCCTATCCCGCCGCCGCCGCCGTTGCTGGTCGGCCGCGCGCGGGAGCGGTGGCGCTTGAGGCGCTCAGCTCGCACACTTCCGCAACGCGCCGTGATTGCGCTAAACTGGCTCACTCTGGGCCAGCCGAGCCTCGCCCCCACCGAGGCTCGCGCGCGAGCGACGGTCTCGTCCTACCAGGAGGGCGCGCGCTGCCGCATCGAACGGCTGCGCCGGATTGCAGTTCGCCTTGTCAGCGGCGGCAAGAGCGACCTAGGTCGAGCTTTCGCGTAGTTTGAAGCTACTGAGGTCTCGCTCCGTGGCTACCCATGTTTCAGCCCTGGAGGCCTCGTTCACCTCGTCTTCGGCCGCCCCAGCCCCTATGCGACAGCGCCCCTCATCTGCGCCCCTGCGCCAGGATCACTCGCCGCCGCGGCGTCGTGGGACTCCGCCCACGTCGAGCCTTTCGACTCGAGGTCAAGGCGTCCCGCATCAAGAAGGATTAGTCTCCTACGTTTGACCCCGCTCCCTTCCTGGCCGATCCGATCGCGCGCCAGGCCTTCTTGGACCCCGATGTCATCGGGCGGCCCAGGGCAGAATGGCCTACGGGCCAGCAAGGGGCACGCGTCCACATGGACCGGTCAGACCTCTGGGCTCTTCTTCGCAGATGGGGCGCTTGCGGGGCCCCGTGCCTCACCCCTGCTGCTTGTCTTCGCTGGGAGAAGGCTTGCGGGGCCTTTCGCGCCCCTGAGGACAGCGATTTCGATCGCTTGAT